AGCACTACCCACTTCCAACGATTGAAGAAGTAGTTGCTGATTGTCCAGATGCTAAACTCTTCTCAGTTCTAGACGCAAAGAGTGGCTACCTACAGATTCCACTAACCTATGAATCCAGTATACTGACCACAATGAACACACCCCTAGGCCGCTACCGGTGGACCAGACTACCCTTCGGGATAAAAAGTGCTCCTGAAATGTTCCAGAGAATAATGGATGAGATGCTAAGTGGTATAGAGTACTGTAGAGCAGTCATGGATGATATCCTAGTTGCAGGCAGAGATAAAGAGCACCATGATCAAGTCCTACGACAAGTACTCGAAAGAGCCCAAAGCTACAATCTGAAGTTAAACTTTGACAAAGTGAGAATTCGCAAGACAGAAGTCCCATATGTTGGACATGTGATAACTGCAGACGGGTTGAAGCCGGACCCCAACAAAGTCAAAGCTGTACTGGACATGCCACACCCAGACTCAAAGGAGGCAGTTAGAAGATTTCTTGGTTTCATCCAATATCTGTCCAAKTTCCTACCAATGTTAGCAGAAGTAGAAGTACCTCTAAGAGAATTGACAAGAAATGATGTACAGTTTCACTGGGACAAACCTCAGGAAGATGCATTTCAACAGCTAAAAGAATTGTGCTGCAAAACCCCCGTGTTGGCCTACTACGATGTCAACAAGCCCACGACCATACAATGTGATGCCAGCAATTATGCCATAGGAGCAGTCTTACTACAGGAGGGCAGGCCAATAGCGTACACATCCAGAAAGCTGAATGCCTCTGAAATTAACTATGTGCCCATTGAGAAAGAGATGTTAGCCACCGTGTACAGCACACAGAAATTCAGAGAGTACATACTTGGCAAAGAAACCAAAGTCCAGACAGATCACAAACCACTGGAAACCATTTACCGCAAGCCTTTAATAGCAGCACCTCTACGACTACAAACAATGTTATTAAAGGTGAAAGGATATGATCTTAAAGTAGAGTACCTACCTGGAAAGAAACAGTTCATTGCAGATGCGCTTAGCAGAGCAAGCTCTGAGGAACCAACTGAAGAGGACATTGACTTCAAAGTGAACATGATTGACAGGATGTCTGTCTCAAAGACTAAGTATTCAGAGTTCCAACGCAAAACTGCTAATGAACTTAATGAACTATATGTTGTTATTCTAAAAGGATGGCCAAGTCACAAGCAACAAGTGCCACAAGTTGTC